TATCTTTTCCTACCTGGTTGTTTGGTTTCGCATGAATTTTTCAGCTCTTTTCTGGACAGAAGGTTTAAAGTAATTCACTGAGTTTAGGTTTGATTGTTCATGCATGTACTGAAATTGGGTGTTAAAATGCTGGAATTGATTGTTCATTTTATGTACGTACTGAAATTGGGTGTTAAAATGTTGAAATTTTTCTCTGCGATTTAAAATAGTGGGGTTGATTGTTCATTTTAGGCACGCACTGAAATTGGGTGTTAAAATAGTGAAAAGTCTTTAAAAGTTATACCTGGAACAATGTTGTGGTATGACTTGTGGGTGATGGAAAGTGAAATATTCAATTTTCAGTTGGGTGTGGTCTTTGGATAAGTTCGGTAAAAGAAAAAGGGGAAGAAATTTTTCATGGAAGATTGGAAATGTAGATGCATGATGCATAAATGTCTTTTGAAATGTATGAAGTTACTGTGCTTCGTCACGGTAGCCCTTTCATGTTTTGAAGTTCACAATTTTCTCCTTGTTCCTATTGTGATTGAAATGTCAATAGTGTTTCATTGGTTTATTCAATTCTGACAGTGCTGTCTATGAAGAGGAGTTGAAAATTGAAGAACAGAATTGCTTAATATGGACTTAAACAGCAAAGCATCACTTGCTAGTCTCCCTGTTCTTTCATATTTTTCTGATCTTGATCAAGCTACTGCTTCTTATTGCAGTAATACTGTCATGCAGGAAAAGGAAATGGATGGGCAGAATCAGGAAGAACATTCCGTTTTTATTTTTATGTGTATTGGAAGAACAAAACCACAATGTTATCAATACTGTGTTTTGCAGGCTTCCTGCTTGAAGAATGGATGTTCTTGCAAAAATGAGCCTGGCACGAAGATTCTTATTTGATTTTGGAATGAAGCTTCTCTATGGAATTCATGAGGTAATCTCTGGTAGACTGTTGAATTTGGAAGAAGCTGCTTTTGGTGGGAGGTTTCCCACTAATGAAATTGCCCTAATGCTATTGGTTCAAATTTATGACATGCAGGGTGAAGATCTAAGCATAAGAAGAAACAAGCATATGCTACACAACTATATTGTTGATATTGAAGATCCATGCTTAGATACAGATGTAGAAGGTATTCGGGTGCATTGAGCAGTGCTCCTTGGGTTTTTCTTTTTTTTTTTTTTTCTTTAATTTTTTATAATATCAAGAAAGACATCATTGATAATTACCTTTCAGGAAAGAAATGGTGGGTATGCTGCATGCCATTTCAACACCATTCTTAGAAACCTTAGTTTGTCTTGCTTTCTGTTCAGCATGTAAAATTGTCAAATTGAATGAATCAACAACATATTAAGTTGTTTTCCTTCCCCCCATGATTTTTAGTGGTTGCTTCAATTTGCCAAATGAGACATTTACTTTCGGAGTGCATCTAACTAGGGTACTTTCACACCTTAGTTTGACAGCATCCACCATAATCTACTGGGAGCACATGCCCATAGTTCATCCTAGTTAAATGGGTTCAAGCTGTTTTTCAAGTTATTTTTTCAGGTGAGGTTCAAGATTTACAAGGATTCTTTACCTCTTCTGGAGAGTGCTTTTAGACAGGCCATTGAGTATGATTATCAAAAGGATACGAAGTTCAGTCAAGAACTCAACAAGAAGCAAGTGAGAAGAATTTGTGGAATTGAATCTTTTCCATTAATTTATTTGTTCATACTTCTCTTTTATTGAGTAGCATGTGTTAATATGGTGCATTAAGCAGTCTACTCTCATTGTTTTGTCCATTAGTGGTGTCAGCACCAAATTCTTTGTGGCCCATGCACCTTCCAGTTATGGAGAATCACTGGAGGCTGCCCTTTCCAAGGGATCCATTTGGAGTTGGTGTGAATCTTAGTCAATCTGAAACAGTCTTAAATCTTCAATATGCTAGGTAGAACGGCCTTTAGAAGTATGGTTGTTACAGACCCCTACTGGACCCAGGCCATCGCCCTCTGTCAGTGTGACCTCAAACTGTGCCATCTCTAAAGATGCTTCCAAATGAACGCAAATGGGACTAGTATGCCCCTAAGTCACATTCAACCAACTTTAGAGCCTCCAAGTATTCCACATGGGGTCCTACCTACACGACATGTGTATTATGAAGCCACTACAAATATGAGCCATGCTTGCCCAGCTATGAAGCCACAAGCTCTGCCAACAACTAATCAGTATGATCCTTCAGCTATTGAGCCACAGGCTCTGCCAACAACAACCAATTAATATTATCTTTCAGAACATCTGCAGCAATACACATGAAACCCCAGTGACGCCATGCCAGACCCTCTTCCAACACGGAGTGATCACTCTAATTATGCGGCTGCCATATGTTGAAATTGCTTCTCACAACATTTTCTCACATGCTGGTGGAAACAATGGTGTGGTACATCCTCCTCAGCAAATGTGTCACCTTTTCCCTGGAAGAAACCCTGTCATATCCATGCCAGGTTCTTTTAAGTCTCCCATTGAATGTGTGAGAAATTTCTCGCACCATAGAAATGAATCAAATTCTAATAATGCTGATAAGAAACAATGTGAACTTGACATTGACCGCATCATACATGAGGAAGACAGCAGAACAATGCTGATGATAAAGAACATTCCAAACAAGTATGTGAATGATTTTCCTGTTACACCAGTATTTTATTCTGTACTTCATCTTCCATCTTTCTAGTTATACGTTTATCACTTGATTTCAATATTTTTCTTTGTGTTGAAACCATCATATGATGAACCATTTTTTCCTTCACTAAGGTCATGTCTAGTTATACATTCCTAACTTCCTATGGAAATTTCTCAATTTTTAGCTTGTTTTCATAGTTTCACCTAAGAATAGCAGTCCCACTAACCAAACAAGCCCTAAAGGATCAGAACCTGTAGATGTTGTGACTAGGACTAATAGCAGTTGACTTCGAAATCACAATTGATATTTCCTTAGTTTTGTTTATAATTTTGAAAATATTGTGCGAGTCATTTTAATGACCATAGTCTATAATGTTGTTAAGGTAAATCCAGTGTTGGTGGTGAATGATTGATAATTACATCATATGTGATACTATTCCTGTTGTTTGAGGCAAAAAAAAGGAAAAAAAGGAAACCATTCCCTTATGGATACTTTTGCTTCTGGTTTCCTCTTTTTCCTTATCTATTTCTTTATCAACCTGATAGCCTTTTTTATGCAGGTATGCCTCAAAGGTGCTTCTGGCTGCAATAGATGATTAACGTCAAGGAACCTATGATTTCATTTATTTGCCAGTTGAATTCAAGGCAAGTAAACTAATTTTTTGTTGAACTCATCTCCCCTTTGAAGTGCCTTAGGCTGGGGTGATTGGAGGGGGAAGAAATCCTCATTTCTAACGCTTATTATGAAAGGGCATATATATCTTTCTCTAACTTGAAACTTGTGAATATTGTCAACAGAATAAATGCAATGTGTATTATGCATTCATCAACATGATTGATCCACAACAGATTATTCCATTCCATAAGGTTTGATGTGGGGATTAGATGTTGTAGTGCTTTTCCACATTTACGAAGATTTTTTTTTTCATGTTAATGTGCTATTAAACCAATTTGCAGGCATTCAATGGCAAAAAATGGGAAAAGTTCAACAATGAAAAAGTGGCACCACTTGCATATGCTAGGATTTATGGAAAAGCTGCTCTTATTGCCCATTTCCAGAACTCAAGCTTGATAAATGAAGATAAGCGATGCCATCCTATTCTTTGTCATTCTGATGGCCCGAATGCTGGCGCTCAGGTAGGTTATCATGTCAAACTAGTGAACTAGCTTATAAAGAAAGTCTTATCACTTGTTTGATTTGAGGGGAGGGGTTGAATTTCCCTATTTGGGTAACAAAAAAATTGAAAGTGGGGAATTGGAAGGAAATGGAGGGGGAGGGAAGTGGACTCCTTTTCCTTTTCCCTCAAACCAAAAAGGGGGTTAAAGTTTAATAACTTGTGCTACACAGCATGAGTTATTGCATTAACTCATCAAGCACTTTGTTACTTCGAATCAAAGTGGCTTGTTTTCTTGTTGATGTGGGAGCCCTTTCCCATGGATACTAACATTAATCAAAACCTGGAAAGCCTTGAACAACCAGTCCTTAGAACAATCGCCAACCCTGAGAACAATTGCCAAGGTAGCTCTTCAACTTTAGCGAAGAGTGAGGAACCTTCCAGTGAGGTAGACTCTTGGTCAAGTTATCTCAAGTATTCTAACTAAGCTATCTGCCTTACCAGGCACTAATTGTGGACTAGCCGTTTTGTTAACCCAAATGCATTTTGGAACTATAGTTTCTTGGCCATTTCATCTGTTTCTATGAAAATTTTTGTATGAATGGACGATATGAGCATAGAGAACAGCTTAAAAATGTTCCCGAGTCTATGCATGATTCCGTGGATCCTTGCTGTTCTCAGTTTTGTACACTGATGTCTCAAAATGTAATTTCCTTACCTTTTGCTAAGGAGAGAGAGAGATGTGTCATATTATAAGTATTCTAGCAATTGAATTTTTAAACTCGCTTTTGTTTTTGGTAAAGAAATGCAAGTTTTTTTCAATAATAAATGTATAACTCTTTTTTGTTCAATATTGAGATAATCAAGTTACTTACAACAATGATTTAGAAATTTGAAGCTAATTTCTAAAGAACAATTACACAATTATATAATTATATAATGTAGCTTATAGAACATAACACAAATTACCGAAAATAAGAAGCAAGAACTGAATTGAGTTTCACATGTTACTAGCATTCAAAAACAAAAAGAGATCTCGAAGATTACGAAAGAACATTCCACTCAAGTAGATGCGTGAAATCCACCCATTTGTTTTGGTTTAATTTCCTGCCCATTCCAAGATGAGATCCTTTTCACAGGATGAACAAAGATGCAGACTTGACCTACACAACATGTTCCCACAAAGCCATTCATCATCAATAAAAGAGGAGTATAAGGTTTAACGAGTAATCTAATCCACATATTACAAAGATTCTCAACTTGAAAACATATATGGTATATCACCCTAAAATACCCTGCCCCATCTTCTCTATGTAGCCTATCCTAGCAAACACATTCCAGAAAACAAACCCATATCCCCACACAAGCATTTCATCGAACACCTAATGTGCATAACCAAAAATAAGCTCAAATCTTCCTGGACTTGTTGCGCTCAAACCCCCAAAAATCATATAAACTTGACAATCTTTCTCACAAATCACAATAGATCAATTAAATGACAACAACAACCAATTTGATCAAAATCAATTCACACAAGATCAGTTAGTTATGAATGCATTTCACACTAGATGAAAGATGAATTAATTACATATTAATGGTTATGAGAGAATTGAATCGAATGATGGCTAAGAGCATCAACCACAAGATCGATCTATATATATGAACCCCGAAAATATTTGGCTCGAAAATATTTGGTTTCAACAGTGAATATATGACTAAGAAAAATAAAGGATATTTTTCAAAAAAAAAGAAGGAAAAAAGAAACAACAGTGAAATATTGCAGTTTAAACATTAATAAGAAAAGAAAAGAAGCCATACCAGTGGTATTGGATCTCAGCCATTTGATTTGATGCAAAGTTTTCCATTTGCGGTCCTCAAAGGACGTCCACGAAGGGTTGAAGGACATTTTTGGCATTGGGATCGTCCCACTCCAGTGATTCCCACAATTCTTGCTTTATCCAGATTCTTTTTAGAGCAGTAGGAGGAGATGGCGGCACATTCCCTCCCAGGGGAATCCTCCTTAACTTTGGACATTCTTTTATTTGTAATTCTTGGAGAGAATCACAGACCATTACTCCTCTTGTGGAGCAGATTTTCTTCAATTCTGGTAAATCCCACAAATTCAATTCTCTTAATTTTGAAAGAGTGAATTTAGAAGTTGTTGTTGTATCAGCTGTGTGATTTTCCTCTTCTCCTTCCCATCCTATTATTTCCTCCATTTGTTGACAATCCCAAACTAAAATAGACTCCAAGTTTTGGAGGCCTTGTAGCAGCTCAAATGGAAACAACCTCCTCATTCTAGAACATCCCCTCATCCAAAAGCTTTTAAGATTGGAAAAGATGTGAGGCGGTGTTGCTTTTGCTCCTTCCACGTCCGCGACAACACTCAAGTTAGGCAACTTATCAGGCACTAGCCCTTCAGGGTTATTAATGAAAGATGATGATGATGTAACCATGTCAACCACACACTCTATCTCTTCACACTCAATAACCAAACAGCTTCTCAACTTAGTTGTATTTTGGAGAGAACAAATATCACTTAAGCTTCTAAATTTTCTACACCTATAAATCCACAATTCCTGCATGTCATCTGGAAGCACCACACTATCTTGTCCACCTATCTCACATTCTCCTAAACTTATTACTTTAGACAAAGAAAGATTAGGATGAAAGCCGTTCTCCACTTGTCCAACCACAAGGCTGTAGCTACTCAATCTATTAAAATGGCTAGACTTGACATAATTGTTCCAGTCTTGCAGGTCATACAATTGAGCTTGAAAAGTCTCCAACTTCGTCAATCCTCTTACTTCTTCTCCTTTTATCCTTAAAGTAGTCCATTTGGAATATACTGCCAAGTGTTGGAGGTGGGAGAGGTTACTAAGTATTCTTGTTGATAGCTCCACCAATTCTGGACACCATAAATCAAGATATTGGAGGTTTACAAGCATATCAATGCCTTCAGGGACCACCTCAATTCCTGCCTTACACATATCCAACTTCTTCAATGCCCTAAGCTTTGCTAAGCAAGGCACATGTTTTAATTGCCTACAATGTTGCAAGAGCAATGTAGTAAGATTCTCCAAATTAGAGATAGAACTAGGTAGACTTTCAATGCTAGTTCTAGAAAGATTTAGACACTTAATCCCTTGCATGTTTGCAAAAAATTGATCCGGAATTTGGGTCAATTTGCTATTCCCTTGCAACATCAAGGTTGTGAGATTGGGACAATATGGGCACATGTTTAGAGGAATATTTGAAATTTCATTTTGCATCAAGGAAACCTTTTCAAGATTTTCAGTCCATTTATGCTCGTCTGGTATCTTTGTCAGTCCTATACGAGCTTTCACCATAACTTGATGAGCGATGCGCAATGCCATATCTCTCACAACATCATGCATTTTAATACTGTCCTCATAATAAGCTTTCTCTAACAGACAACTGTTTTCAAGCCTATTTAATATGGTTCGTCCTTTATCAAGCATTGCTTGTCTACTCCCTGATTCTTCAATAAGTCCCTCATCAATCCATTGTTCGACCAAATCATCTTTTCTAATTTGATAGTCTTCAGCATATAGTAAGCAAGATAAGAAACAATTTTGGATATTTGAATCTTGCAAACGATCATAGCTGAACTTCAATCGCTCAAATATCTCATCTTCTGAACCTTCGGCTGTAGCTCTTACACGTTCACGTAATTCATTTAAAGCATGCCTCCACTCATAGACATCAGTTACTCCTTTCATGCTCCCAGCTATTACAACAATAGCCAAGGGTAGTCCAGCACACTCCTTCACCATGGCCTCCCAAATTTCTTCCAATTTTGGAACTTGTAGAATGTATCTTCCCACGTTATCTAAGAACAAATTCAGAGACTCTTCCTTTGAAAGAGGAGACACTTTAACTATTTCACAACCAAGGGACTTGCATACGTCCACCTTTCTACTAGTAATAACTAGTTTGCAACCATTTTCCATCGTAGGACTCGGGATGCCAACATCCTTGAGAGTAAACCTCTGCCACACATCATCTAATATCAACACATATT